GGGGGAAGATGCGAAACGTCGGCAATTATTTTTGTTGGATTTATTTATTTTGAAGATAGATGTTGCATTGTCAAACCATCCGATTAAACTAAACAGTTTTATTTGTCAAACAAATTACAACAGTATCATCACATGGACCCTGTATTGTACAGTTAGTTACTATGAAGAATTGATCTTATACTGGTTTACATTTTGAAATTCGGTTATCAATATTTTGTTTTCACTTTTTCGATGAGTTTGATATAGTAACAATGAGCACAATGGCAATAGTTGCATTATGTAAATAAAAGGCATAATGTGATAACTTTGAGAAAGAAAGAAAGGTCACATTTCGAGCAAGGTCACGCATCTTCAGGTATATGAAAACATGACTTTAGAGGGCGTTCATTTGTGATGTTTAGTTTACTCAGTTCCTTATCATTGAACTATTCGCGCCACAGCGTTTTTAGTGAAATAAAAAAGTTCGTTTATGTTTCTTAAAATTATCAGAAGCTTCCTATGTAGTATTATACGAATAAAACAAGCACACAATTACTATGTCTTTGCAACAAGGATAGGTTCGCGGATCTAGTGCTTACAACGACAGATGTACTGACCTGTTGTTGGTAGGATGAAAGAAACAGTTCTCACTGTGAAGATGAACAAGAATAAACACTTTATTAACTGAAGATAAGGTCGAATACAGTTGACCAGTAATAGGAAGGATTATTAGGTAAGTAAATCGCATTTAGTTTATTTGTTTGAAGTTAAGCACAAAGCTACACAATGGGTATCGAAGCCCGATTTCTAGCGTTGTAAGTCTGCAGACATACCGCTGTGCCACTTGGTGGCATCGCATTTAGACAAAGGAAAGCGAAAGAACTTAAGTTTGTTAAATGAAGAAGGAAAATAACCTTTAATTGAAAAAAAAAACAAGAAGCGAAAACTATTGGTATTGAATGATTAAAAGAAATTGCACACACGATCAATAGGAGAGATTTTATAACTGAAAACAATAAGAGGACTTCGCCAGAAAATTTTAACTCATTCAAGATAAAAAAAAGAAGATGGCTAAAAAAAACTGCTTCCTTAATTTACATTTACTATGTTTAACTGACCAATCTCAAAATTGGATAACTAGTATCAGAAGGCATTTCTGCTCCATATGACAGTAGATAACTTCCTTAACCAGATACTGTTAGAGAAACAACCTTGACCGGAGTTAACATATTCCGAATAAGAGCTGTAGAAAAATGAATTTTTTTTTATAGAAACTGCATTCTTTGTTGTTGTTATTCTTTTACAAATTCATTTCATTAATATATTTTTATTACTTACAAGTGTGAAACTTAAGTAATATTTGCTATTTTGACTTGAACAGATTTCTACCGGTATTGTTAATGACATTTCTACACTGATTATAACTCTTGCTTTAAATTCTATTATTTCGGGTTTGTAACTTCCATTTTAGCTTGTGTTTTCGTTTAAGCTGTAATTTTCTTATCGCTAGTACCCAAATAACAAGTAGGTGCACATATATTTCAACTTACATTCTATTATCACTTTGGTTATTTTACCAGGAATCGCTAACTTGTTTTAGATTTTTTAAGCAAAGCTACACAAAAGTCTATCTGCAGATAGCCGCCCCTGAATTGAAATTGATACGACTGGAGAAAAGGTAGCTAGTCAACAGGACTTGAACCATGGATCCTCAAATCCATAGTCCAGAACGCTAAGCGCTAGACCACGCTCCAGCTGTGAAGAAATTAACTATAGACGTTTATGAGCGTGTGCATGTGTTGAGGAAGTGTTCGCAAAAGGTTTTAAAAATAAACTGATCACACTATTAGTGTCTCTAATCTGACAAACTCTGTAGTCTCAAGACCACAAAGTTAAATGTACCACAGAATAGTTCCGTGATAACAAGAAGGCCGAAATAACTTTAAATAAGATAAATTTTCATTATATGAACTTTATAACTTAAACTGTTGGACGTAGTTTTAGTCGTTTTGAATATTACTAATTTTTCTATCGTAATTGAACAAGTGATTCAAAAGATTAGTATGTTTGTATCCATTTGGTTGTTCATGTGCTTCCAGATATCCTGACTAACAATCTTCCTTTTGAAACGCAATTCTTGGTGGTTACTTAGATGAAAAATCGTTTGGATTGCAGTCTTTCGTAATATACGAGCTACGTTTTATGAAACTACCAAGGAAGACAAGGGTGAGATATTAGGTACAATTTGATGGAGATGATTAGAGAATAATGAGGGTGATTTATTGGGTACATCTTGGTGAAAGTTGACGAGAGTGAGATATGGGTGAGATAT